AAAAATTTATTTAACAAAAATTAATTTAATAAAACTTAATTATTATAACAAAATTTATATTTAAATATATTTTTTAAAATATTAATTTGATAAATTAAAAAATATATTTTTGAATGTACAATTATCAAAAAGAATATTAATTTATGATAATTTATAATTTTATAATACAAATGTAATATATTTAAAATAGGGTTAATGAGTGAATAGAATCCTAAACTCTTACTCAAAAATTACCCTAAACCCTAAACTCTTAAAATATATAAAATAAATTTTAAATTTTTAAATTTATAGTAAAATAAACCCTGACTGCCAAATTTTTAACATTATTACTGTTTACATTGGTATTATAACAATTAGAGTTAAATTTATAGAAAAACAAACCCTAAACAATTCTATATGAACAGTAATAGTGTTAAAAAATTAGCGGTCATGGTTTGTTTTGCTATACATTTAAAAGTTTAAAATTATTTTGTATATTTCAAGAGTTTATGATCTAGGATGATTTTTAAGCAATAGTTCAGAGTTTTATTCACTCATTAACCCTTTAAAATATTTAAAAAATGTGATAAAAATTTTAAATAGCATAAAAGTTGATTTTCTAAATAATAAAAATAAAAAATATATAGTTTGATATATTAAAAAAATTATATAATAAATATCTTAACATACATTAATATTGAAAATTAACATGATTCAAAAAATATATATATGATAAATTTATTTCAATTTTTATTCAAAAAAATTTAACCAAGTGGATAAACCTTTTGTCAGTTAGTAATAACTTTAAATAACATAAATTTGATATATTAAATAATAAAAGTATGAAATATAAATTTGATATATTGGACAAAAAATTTATAAATAGTTGAATATACACCAATGGTAAAAATTGATATGATTAATTATTCAATCTATAATACTAAAAACTTGATCCATTATTATTATTATTATTATTATTATTATTATTTAAATGAGGGTTAATGAGATCTTGAATCCTAGACTATTAGTCTAATAGCACTCCAAACCATAAACTCTTAAAATGAGCAAAAATTCTCTTAAATTTATAAATTTTGAGCAAATTATCCTTCATCGTTAAGTTATATATAACTGTCATTACTTTTAACTTTGTAAGGCCCAATCAAACCTAATGTGTCCTAACACCAGTGTTTTGAAACCTAGACTAGATCAGACGGTTCGACTGTCCATCGGTCAACAAAATGGCTTGGTTTAACCATTTGGACCACTTTTGCATTTGAACCTGCATTGACCCAAGCGGTTTTAAGAGAATAGGATTTGACCCCGAAAAGTAGAGTGGATTAACCCGATTCAAAGCAACAAAAAAAATTAGACTAATTTACTCATAATATTTTTATTTAATTTTTATATTATCGGTTCAACTACTAATGTAACCAATTAAACTATGAGAATCATAACCCATTACTCTTTTTAATTTGATGTCTGGTCTGAATTTTAAAACATTGCCTGACACAACTTTCACATGTGGCATTTCAATTGGGCAACTTTTGATCAAACCATCTTATCCATAATGATCAACATTGTACTGATACATGGCTGAGGGGTAATTTGCCCTAATTGAGTTTCCAATTTTTCATTATTCTAGAATTTCAAAGTTTAGAATTTAAAATACTATTTAAATAATAGTTTAGAGTCTAAGATATTCATTAACCCTATAAATGATTATTATATTTTTTTATTGAATTAACAATGTTTTTTAAATAAAAGAATAATAAATTAACTTTAGAATAACATGATCAAATAATATTTAACTTTTCAAAAGCTTTAGCCTCTTCTGTTCACCAAATTCATTTTCCATGACATTTTGAAAGTACTTTAAGAGCGCACTTTTATTTCCTTTTTTTTTTTCCAAACAACATCCCACATTTAAAAAATAAGAAAGCACTTCTTAAAAGTTAAAAGTGAATTATCCAAACATATCCTAAAATTGCATAACGATAAATGTTACGTCAAGATCTAAGCCTCGTTTTGATTCACGATAATACATACAAGGATTTTCTTAATTTGATCCTGATAGACATCGTTTATTATTCTCCACATAGATGAAAATGTCAAGTTGGCCTCCGTGCCAGTCTCCTGGGAGCTTTCGAAAAATGCTCTGATCTTGCAATTTAACGTCAACACATGAGGTTAAAAACTTTTAAGTATCTACAAGCACACCCTCTCTGTATGTCAAGTTCTTGAAAGGCTGGAACAAGTATTTATAAAAGATTGAAATGAGATCTGTCGGACATGGAAGCTTGATGAAGTGCGAGCTTCATTCATGGTGTCCTCTTATTCAAGAAGACAAGGTACCATAAAGCATATTATTACTTGCCTTGGTCTGCTATTGTTACCCAGATTCCACTCAAAATTATCGTTTAATAATTGCGAATACATTATTTAACTGTAGTTGTTTTCTCCATCACCCACATGAGGAAGGACAGGGCATCTTCTCGTCTACTAAGAGAAACCCTTCCCAAACTTGAAATCCATAAATGTAAATCCCCTAACTTGTATGCAAAGAAAAAGCTTTATTTGCAGCAATTGCAACACAAGATATAAAAGGACTCAGGGCCCTTATATATATAATTTTAAGGCTTGATCCCTATTTAAAAGGCTCAAAGCCAAGCCCTTTGGCCCTCTTTTTTTAAAAAATTTAATATTTTAATTTAAATAAAATATTTTAAAATTTAATTTAAAATAAAAATCAATGTAAATTTAAATTCTCCTCATCATCAGCAAAAAATAAAATACTAAATCCTTCAAATGAAGGTCAACTTATTGAAGACGGAGGTAGAGATTTAATGTCAATTATCTCTACAACTTCTTCTTCATCACCTACAATAAATATTAAATAAATTGTATCATTATCAATTAAATGTATGTATGTATGTATCAAAAGACAAAATATAAAAATTACTATAAAATGATATAAAACCATTTAACCAATTGCGAGTACAAATTAATGCTTGCACATTGTTTGGAAGGGGTGAAAATAATATTTTGTTAAAACATGAGAGCCCATACTAAAAGATGATTTTCTAGCTATTGTAATGATCAGAGTACTTAAAATATCGCATGTCATTCTTGAAAGATTGAGAAATATTTGTTGATGAGTCTTCTACTAATGCAATATATCTAATTTTGGAAACTGATAGCCATCAAAGAAAACTTTTTTTAAATAATAATCTAATTTAGATTTTTCAATAGAAGAAACATCCCTACTTTTGAAATTAAGAAAATTCTACATTTAAAAAAATCTAAAAGTATCAAACAAGCAATTATAAACCAACAACCATGAGATAAAGTGAATTACACAAATGAAAATTTGCACTATAAAGTTGAGTCTAAGACATGATCGGCTCCTTTTTCTTCTCTGCCATCCTTCTACTTGTGCTTATTTGACTTTGTATTAAAGTTGAACTTGATATAAGATTAATTAAAGATTCACTTATATCTTTGTATTGATCAAAAATAGAATACAATTTTTACTTGATATTATTAACTTTCTTGTAGTAATTCAAATGATCAATCACTGAGTAATAATATTTGATTGCTTCAAGCTTATTAAAGCTTGAAGGGCCACCCAGGCCCATACTATTTTTCATAAGGTTTATTAAGGTCAGGTCCTCAAACTTAATTATTTAAAAAATAATAATTTTTAAAATTCAAACTTTTATTTAAATAAAATTTTTAAACTCGGTAATTATTTATAACTCCAAGTATAACAAGGTGATTTGAATACTGTTGGGTATCAAGTGTGGAAGTTGCCCATAAATTTAGAGTGATGCCGTAATTGGGTTTCCTAAATATGTCACCGTCCTTCATCTCTTTTAACGTGTCAAATCATGATAGGTGTAGGGAAGGTGCATGCCCCTTCATAGATGGTAATGTGATGCGGAGCTTTGTGTTCATATTGCGTAAGTCACATTATTTATAATTATTCCCGACACTATAGCAGGGAGGAAGATCACAATGGAGGCCAGAGAGAGAGGGAGAGAGATTTGTGTGGAATGTTGTATGTTAGCTTTAACAAGTAGTTGAGGGGAAAGTGGTTGGGTGTTTCCAGTAGAGAAGAAATTCGCAATTTCCCTCCCAACTAAGCATTTGACAATTCCTTGACCAGGTCCTTTTTGGTCCCCGTGAGTGTTCACATTTTTGTACCCGCAATCGGCAATTCCGCTTTCTTCTTGTTGGCTTTTTTTTTTTTTTTTTTTCCGGACCACAACAAAAGCATTGTTATGCTGTTGCCAAAGGTCTTAACAGCTCAAAGTCAACTGTCACAGACACGGGGTATACATGATGTGGTGTGCAACTAGGAATATTTTATGTATCTTGGGGAAAAGAGAGTGGATGAGTAAAACACTCCGTCAATTTATTTAAAAAAAATTAAGCATTCATCCATAAATATCATGCCGGCTTCATTTTATAAATTATGGTGATTTTAATATATCTTTTTGGTAGAATTTTAATCTTTTAACTTACTTATAAATTAATGTTGGCAAAAAAAAACCTTACTTACTCTACCATTTTTATATATAAGATGTTTTTAACTCAATTATATAATTTAATAAAATTTAGTTATTTAATTAAAAGCACAATAATTTTTTAATTTTGCCCCTAATTATTATAAATAAAAAAAATCTCTTTTCTCAAAATAAATTAATGAGAATACTTATATTTTTTATTTTTAATTTAATAAAAATATAATAGTCTATTCATTAAAAAATATATTAATAATTTTTTATATTTAAAAATAAAAAAATTATATATAAGAATGAAAGGAATATAAATTAATGAATTTTTGCTTAGATAAAAGGAATGCAATTACGTACGTGAGCTTTTATAGGAGGGCTGTTAGCCTGACAAGCTTCTCGGAAGGAGGGAGGCAATTGCCATCATGTGTGGCGAATACGAATCAAAAGTCTGTCATCAGCTAATAAATAAACTTACGTTCATGGACTGACTCTACTTTTCTCTCCTTCCTTGAAAGTTGAAACCCTTCCTGAGACGTTAATTAGACCCCTCTTTCCCATGCCTTGTTCTATTTATATATCACTCACCACCTTCCGGCCTTCACCCGCAAATTGACCAACACAAAATCTCTCTACACATTATTCCTATAACAACACCTTCCAGAGAGAGTCGTCCATGGCGGGGAAGATTGGGTTTGAAGACTTGCTGCCTGTGATGGCAAATAAGCTTGGAGGAGAAGGTCTGATAAAGGAGCTGTGTAATGGGTTTGAGTTGCTGATGGACAAAGACAGAGGAGTGATCACTCTGGACAGCTTGAGGAGAAACTCTGCTCTTCTGGGTCTTCAGGACTTGAAGGAGGATGAGCTATTGAGCATGATGAAGGAAGGCGATCTCGACGGCGACGGTGCTCTGTCTCAGATGGAGTTCTGCGTCCTCATGTTCAGATTAAGCCCTGATTTGATGAATCACTCTTGGGTTTGGCTCCAACAGGCTCTCCAAGATGAACTCGATCACTTCTCTTCCAAATGATTCTTCAATATTCATTGTTTCTCTTGTTTCCTAGTTTCATTTTCCTTCTTGTCAGAGCTTTATCTGATCATTGTGAATCATGATATATGAAAATATGCTCTACACTCCGATCTTCAGCTTCAATAACTATTCATGTTTGTTCTGAATTATGAGAAATAATCGATCTCTTAACGAAGGAACTTGAAATTTGTTAGAATAAAAGCTGGCTACTCCATAACAGGGTATGAACAAAACACAGCTGTAAAACACTACAGTACATGAAATTGAATCTTTCGTACGATTTGAAGCATAAATCTTATAGTGAATGGAGTTCAATGCAAGTGTGCTTGGAACTTTCATGGAAACACTATATTTCAAAAATCAAAGTAGCCCTTCTTGGCCGACAAGTCAAACCGCATGTAACCTCTTTTTTGTCATTTATTTTAATTGGAAAAAAAATGAACCCCCAGTTCAACTCATTTTTTTTTCTTTTGAAGGGATCAATTAAACACACAACTCTAACACCCAAGTGTCAAGGTTCAAACATTGGACCTCAAATTTGTAAAAAGGTAGCATTCCCGCTCAGGCAATTTGTCATCGGCGAAGTTCAACTCATTCAATAATAGATAGATTTTTATACGCCTGAATATATTTAATTTTGCATCGTGGTTGTGACTAGAAGTCTCATTGTAAATAATTCAAGTTGTTATTGAAATTCAGGCAATCCTGTTAGTTGAAGTTTGCATAGATGACTTTAGGTATAGATTTTAAATTTAAAATATCACATTTAAAACATATATTTATATAATAAAATTCCACCAATAAAAAAGAATTATCCTACTTGTATGACATGTGAATAGGACAGGTGTTTAAAATTAACTAGGATTTGGATCAAATCTGAATTTATTAAATTTTATGTATTTAAATAATGAATTTAAGTCAAATTTAAATTTAAATTCTCACTAATGCAAACATAATAACATAAATAATTAATCTTAACATTTTAATAATATTTATTCTTAAAAAAATTATGTTGACCGATTTGGATTCAGGAGCTTAAAATTCTTCCGGAAACGGTAAGCTTTCAAAGAGCTGACCTGGCATGTGGAACCTATTTAATAAAGGTTCGACCCACATTGTTCTAGTCCAAGTTGTGGCCGTGGCCGAAATATGGATAAAGTCAAAGTTTGCTCAATTGCCCATTCTATGTCGCCTGAAGCCCAAAAGTATCCATGCCCTCTTCCCCCCCCCCCCCCCCTTTTTGTAACAATTCATTTGCAGACTCTTCATCTCGTGCTGTATTTAATATTTATCACTTTTTTTTTTTATATTAATGAGGGTTGATCCGAGTGGACAACGGCTCAAGTTTGTTTAAGCAAGAACTCAAGTTTTGTATAGGTCGAATTTGGTTTAGTCAAGACAAAACTCTAGATATCAGGTAGGTAATCCAAAAAAAATAAAAATATTTATCATAGAATTGTACTGCATGCTCATCAAGACCAAGAGCAATTCTAACCTTTCATTTCAGCCTTATTTAATCTTTGCCATTCATTTAAATTAATTTTTTAAAATATTTTTAATATTATATTTATTGATATAAAAAGTTTTAAATTTTAATATATCTGTTTATTACCAATCTGACCAGTACATATTTAATCTAGTAATTCAATTTAATATTAAAAAATTTACAATTTTACTATCTGACTACACAGATAAACTCTATACAGTTCAGATATAATTTAGATGACCTAGTTTAATATTAAAAAATATAAAAAATTTATAAATTGATCATTAAAACATACTCTAAATAATCCAAATTTAATATTAAAATTTTTCTATTTTTTATTTTATTAAATATAATATTAAAAAAATTTAAAAAAATTAATTTAAATGAACCACAAGATCAAATAAAACTGAAATAAAGGGTTAAAATTATTGCTTATTCTAATGAGAATTCGATACTCATCACGAAATGCAGATGCATTTATCACTTTTTTTATGGCTTAACTTTTGGTCTCATTTTAATATGGCATTGCCTTCATAATCCCTTGCCTGCATCTAAAATTAAAGTAATGTTTATGAGTTTTTTTTAAGATGAAGTGAAATAAAATGGTTAGAAGCTTTGTGCCATTATTTAAAAGAAAAATTTAAAAGAGGATGGAATGACTTGGAGAGACTTTTTAAACCATCACTTGTCATTCTAAACTCATTTTTTTAACCTCTTAATTTGAAAGGTAAAGAATGAAATGATATGATATAAATATTATTTACAAAATTATCTTTATCTTTCTCACTCCCTCTCTTTCTTCTACTCCCCTTTATCTTAAAATTAAAAAATATAATTATATCTTATTCAAATATATTAATTTTATATTTATTCTTAAATAATAATTAAATAAAATTATTTATTTTGTTAATAAAACTCTCAAACAATAAAAGTGTTTAGAAACTTGTCCTGAGAACAGTTTTCTGTTTTCCAAAACAAAAAAAATAAAAAAATTCGATTGGTAATGTATTTTTAAAAAGTATTTTAAAAAATAAAAAAATAAAATATTATTCTGAAAAATAGAAAAATAAAAACAACTTTTAAGTATTTTGTGATTATTGTTCTAAAAATTAAAAAAATAAAAAAATATTTATTTTTATTATTTTTTTATTCTTAAAATATATTCTACAGAACTCAAAATAATAAAATAAAAATAATTTTAAATAATTTCAAAATATTTCCTTTCATTTCACTCCATCCTATTTCATCACATTCCATTCCATTAGCATATTCCATTCCATTAGCGGTCGTTCCTTTCCGTTCCATTCCAATAGCGCATTCCATTCCAGTAGCGATTGTTCCTTTTCATTTCATTGTATACTTTCGAACATTCCATAAGCCTTCGGTCCAATCGCTTTTCATGACCTTTGAAGGTAAGAGTGAAGACGATGCAATAGAAACATCCGATGGGGGAAATGGATAGGCAAATACAGGTTTCTCTGAGGAACCTCTCATGGGCTTGCATCACCGTTGCTTCCTTCACCGTTCTCCTTCTCTTCCTTCAAACCCCTGACACCTGTGTTCCTCCAGACGCACCCTCCAAGCCTCACCTCCGATTCCCCAAATCTTCCTGCGATTTCTCCCCTCGTGTCTACGTTCCCATCGACAAGAAGAACAAACGCCTCTGGTCCTCCAGAGAATGGCTCAAGAAGGTCGATTCCTATGTTAAATTCTTCATATCCATTCAAGATCTAGGTCTTCTCCAGAAGAATTCCAGAGCCCTCTGTGTTTCCGCCGGAGCCGGACACGAGGTCAGGGCTCTCACCAACATGGGCGTGCTCGACGTTACTGGAGTCGAGTTGATCGAATCACCGCCACTGGTGGCTCGGGCTGATCCGCATAACCTGCCCTTCTTTACCAATTCGTTTGATTTTGCTTTCACTGCCCATTTTGCCGAGGCATTGTTCCCATCACGATTTGCGTCCGAGATGGAAAGGGCGGTTGAGGCCGGGGGGGTATGTGTGCTTGTAGTTGAGGAATGTGGGGATGATGAGGTGAAGGAGATTGCGGGCTTGTTTAGGAATTCAAGATTCATTAGCTCAAATAATGTTACTCTTATTCGATTAAAAAGGACGAGTATTATTATGAAAACAAGAAATTCTTGATGACCATTGGTTAAATTTTTTATTTTCAAGTACTCTACATTTCATTCGTTGGTTATACCCCTGTAAATTCGATGATGCTTTAAATTGAATGAAGCGCTCCTGCATTAGGTATTACTACTGTTTCCAGCGGTTAGTGTAGACTAGATTCATGTAAAGTTTTTCACATTTGGAAGTGGTGCTAAAAGAGATTGCATATTGTACGGACTATGCCCTTGCCTACAACTAGATCTAGATCTAGATCTAGACGGGCTGTTGTATTAGATCGGGTTGCATGTCTTAATTTACTTTGTCAGTTGTTTGGGGCTTGTAAGTTCTCAGCTTTTCCGTAATAGGATCTTGGGTGTCTATCATGGTTAGCTGCTGGGGAAGATGTATTCGTGTTCTATTGCTCTTGAGCATGATGTTTTACCCCCATCCCCATCAAAGGAATTACTGATAAGTTTTAAGCTTCATTGGTTGAATCTAAAATATATAAATTACGAATACTAATTTGATGTTTAAGATATGCCGTTATTGTGTAAATTGGGATGTGGTGTAATGTGCCATCTGCTGGGCACGGCCCCTCTGGTGAAGTGAGACATTTAACTGATTAAAACCCTTTCAGATGAATTACAAGTTCGGGAAGAAAGCAGATAATGGTATTTGTTTTTGTAGAAAAAAATAAGAAGTGATATAGTTGTTAAGGACGGAGGAAATGGTGGTTATCAAGTAGTGGAATCATTTTCATTAAGCAGCCAGACTCTGCTGTTTTGACATTGAAGTAATGATTCGTTTTATTTATTCTCACTGCAAGTCCTGTAAACTCATAATGTTGGTGTTAGTTGATATTAAGTTCATGCTTTGGTTTGTAGAAACATCATAATGATCGAATCATTTGGTTAAACAAATTACTAGCTAATGCAAGATTATTTTATAATTGCTTGACAGAGACTGTCTCTACTGGTCTTTCATTGTCTCAAGTCGAGGCTAAGTGGGAATGCCCACCTTGTGGATGAACAAAACTAAATGTGGATGGGTCGGTGCAAGGTCAGCTTGGACATGCAAAATGTGCGGGGCTATTTTGCAATGAGCAAAGGATGTGGATTGCTGGTTTTATGGGCCGCCGTTCTCCCCTAGAAATTGGGCTTTAGAGCATCTATCATGGTCTCGTCATTGCAAAAGATTTGAATTTTAAGAAATTGATTGTAGAGAGTGACTCAACAACTATCTGCCAACAACTTCAAGCCGTCCTCAACTCATGACAATCTGATTATTGGCAAATCAAACATGGAGTTAACGCTTTGGAGAGTGATATTGAAATTTTGGTTAAGCATATGCTTCATGAAGGCAACAAACGTGTTGATTGGCCTACTAAGAAGAGTGTAGATAGTGCTGATAACTTTAATATTATTGAGACATCTCTAAAGGAGATTGTCTCTTTGTTGTATCAAGACGTTGTGGGGTTTTGGACCCTTGTCTTGTGTATTAATGTTTTCTTTTAAGTGGGCTCAGCCGCATTTGTTACCCCAGAAAAAAAAATTCATGGTTTGATATTTGATGATATGTCAACTCTGTAACATTATACTCTCATCCCAATGCTAAATAGAGCTGCTAGTTGATTAATTTTTATAGATTTAGTGAAAATTCATATAAATTAAAGAAGTTGAATGAATTAGTCAATAGTAAAAATGTGGTTGGATTTCTCCAAAATACCTCAGGAAAATACATGGTTACATTTGAATTATTGTTACATTTCTTTGTTCTTCTGGTAGTAGTTTGGGGAAAAGATAATAAATCCAGAAGATAAAATGAATTTGAATTTTTTCATTTAAAATCAAAATTAACCTTTCAATTAATTCTTACATTTAAGAAACGAGAGAGTACTAGTGTTAGGTTTCCAACTACCAAAAGGCAAATCAAGTTTCCAATTTTTTTTTTCTGGTAAAAGTATCAAGTTCCCAACTTTTAACCAAACCTCGTGCAGCTCTGAGCCCCACAGATTTGAAATATCTGACGGGCCATCTTATTAGACCAGGAATTCTTGAACTTGCTCTTTAAAATTTGTTGTAGACCCAGTAAAATTATTTTTAATTACTTTTGGCTGTTTTGGTATTGAAAGTATGTTACATGCTTCCCCTTAAAATTTTTACTTTCATTAAGTTTCATGACTAGAAACATGCTTCGCGGGAGCCAATGAAATTGAGGCACAACGCATAATCATGACTTGAAGCTTTGCAGTTTGATTCTTATTCTTTAAGTCTTGAGGCAGTTTTATGACAAGAATGGAGAAGGCAAAATAAAACAAAAAGATTCGGGGAAAAAAAAAACTACTTGACGGAAAACACAGGTTTACCGTCTTGTAGAAAAACACGGACGAGGTTTCAACTAGTTTTGGTATATTAGCCACATCCCCCTTTTTTCGTTTTTTTAAGACAGGACAGGACGAGGCAGTGATCCAAAGTGATTCCAAACAAAACAAAAGGAATCAAGGAGGGAGGAAAATTCAGAGAAACAGGGAGCTCCAATCTAATAATCATATTGACTATATACTCATAAATAATTATCATAGTCGCACTTACACTGTAACTACAATCTCAATCTTTCCGTTTCACTTTCCTAGATGAACTGGAAATTGAAAAACACTCGTAAATGAACATTCAGTAACTAGGATCCCTTTTCCTAGTGACCCGAATGTAGCAAAAAACAGCAGCGAAAATAGCAGTAACAAGACCACCTATTATGACACCACCACCCGCCACGGACTTGTCAGTGGAACGATGCTTCCCGAGCCTCCTATACTCGGGAGCTTCCGCTCCTTCATACTCCGACGAAACCTTACTCCCAGAGACTGGCTGCTCTGCTACTTCATGCCCGTTCTTCTCATGAGGCTGAACTTGTGTCTGGGTTTTAAGCTGCAATGGCTTCAGCTCTGCCACGGATTGAAGCACCAACATCTGAGCCAACAGAAGAAAAATCAAACCAAGCCTAGCCATTCTGAACAAAATGTAATGTATGCGATGCAGCAAGTTAGGGTGTTCAGGGTTTTAGAGAAAGAATCACCGTTAAGAAAACAGGGGCTGATATTCTATTGAGCTTAGGCAACAGGGGTCGAAGGAATTTATAAATAGAAGGGGAAGGGAGGAGTGGGATCTCTCTATCTCTCTCTCTGTCTCTCTTTTCGGTGGTTGAAACTTGAACGTGTGACTCGAAACGCAAGTGAAGTTTCATGAGCTATCATTTAATTATTGTGCGTGGCATATGAATGGGTCCCATCCATAATGAAGGATGTATCTACAGCGGAGGAGGGTAAGTTTGGTTTCGGGATTTTATTAAGGTTGCTGTCTGTCGCGGTCTTACGATTCAGTTTTGGGACAGCTCACTCATAGCGTCGCCTGAATCTCAGAATTAAAGCCGAAACGGTGAATGACAAGTAGAAGGCCTTGCATATCAATGCACGTTAAGTAGTCCTAAAGATGTCCGAGCTTCAGTATTTAGAACCATGTTGTTATAATGGGTAGTGTTTGGATTGGAATGAGATGAGGGATGATGTGCATGGATGGAATGATAATCTGGGAGGGAAGAAGGCGCCAGATTCCTAATAAGGAGGATTGAAAGAGAAAGGGACAGTTGGCAGTGGGAAATTTGGGGAAATAGATAGCTGGGAATTAGCAGGTGCATTGATCTCCTATCACTTTCATCAATGAGATCATCGATTGCGACGTGGCAGCCCAGATTGTTGATGAGGACCTGTGTTGCCATTAATAAATAGTAAGCTTAGCGTGCCAAGCTGCAAATAATTAATAACTAATCTTTTGTTTACCCGATAACCAAACAAGGAACAAGATCAAGTAAAGTAAGTTGTCAGAATTTTATGTTACCTGGGGGTAAAAGGTCGGTGGCTGTGAAACCCGAAACTTGAGATATGCAATCTACTTTTCGTATCCGATCGAACAGCCTTACAGCTCATGAGCTGGTTCTTACTTAGGCTTCGAGAAATTTCCTGCCGAGCGGGAAATCTGTATGGAAAGCTAAGTTAGCCATATTTTAAGATGACCGAAGTTGTTGCTTCTGTGCTCGAATCTCGATTTACAGCTATTTCCCTAACACACGACTTTTTTGTTTCTTTTTGTTTAGTGTAGCGACTGAGATTTCAATTGGGAGCTAGTTGCAAATTATTGATTCAAAGTGCAAGTGCAGTGACAAAGTAAAAAGAGCTTTGTATATTTCCAGAGGGATGAGAGCGTTGTCCCTTTTTTTTTTCAATTACATAGAATAGTTGGTGGGATTCAACTTTCACAATTTTGCGATTACAATAAAGTGAGCTGACTGTTATGAGACCATATGGCCATTGCCGAATGCAATTTTTTTAGATCTTGTTGTCGAATGAAGTTTTTGGTCATTCATGTACCCAATAATAAAAGGGGAAAAGGTGGTGATCTGATCATTCAGAATGATTATCGTTTTCACCACTTTTTCAAAATCATCACCTCACATATACCCCGTGAAATCTTTTTCTTTTTGCTTAAATAAAAAGAAAGAATTTTTCCAAAAAAGAAAAATGAAAGAAGAAAGAAAGAAAATAAACATGGATGGTAGGGCGGGGAGTGAAAATGATGGGGGAGAGGGTAGGTTAGTCAGACTCGAGAGGTAACGGGTGTCCCCAACGCTCAAACAAATCAGAGGTCGCTCTCAAATATTGCGTTTAGCTATTTTTTATATCTATCTATGCCCCTTCAAATATCCATTCCTTACAACAACAATTAAAAAATATGACTAAGTTATTTGAATAACAATAACAATAAAAATGACAATAATTTAAGTATTGGGGGGAGGGGCTGACCGTATCATAATTCACATGGATGTGTGGATTTCAGGCCATGAAATCAACACAAGGCAAGCTCCGTATCCAGGCATTACATCTTCCTCTTCTCGTTCTCTTCTCCGCTCCCCAACTATTACCTGCTAACCTCCTTCCTCTTCAAATGTTTACCTTTCTTTCACCTCTATATTCATCCCCTACCACTCCTCTCTTTCCACCACAGGCTTTTTTTGGTACATTACGGTGTAAATTAAAATCAAATAATAAATTTCGTCAGTTTATTTTACTTCTTTAAACATCCCACTTTTGAATTGGAGAAAATCAGCTAAATTTCAAGTTGATCGTCACCTTCTGCCCATTAGATACGACACGCCCATGAGTTTTTGGGTTCCCTAGTCAGTGTTTTAATCATATAGCATCCATTTATAACAAATCTCGTTTGGTGGAGCAACCATTTGTTTTGTTTTCCCTTCACAATTTGGCTTCTCTTCCTTCGGCAGTTCATCTCACTTTCTCAATCTCCATCGTTTATCATCATTTCCATCACATTCATGAACACCGTCGTCTTCGCTTCCTTTTACATACTTCATCATTTCAGCAATATACTCTTTTTTTCCCTCTTACGCCTCTCGCAGATATATGTACATGAACACAAGAGTTGGCCTTTGATTCACTATCCCCTGCTCCACCGCGCTTGTTTTGCCACATCATGGGCCTTCTATGAATTTTACTCTCCCAATTTGAATTAGATAAACGGTACGCTTTTACAAGGCCTTCTTCTAGAATCTGGGCCTAGCAAGGCCTACCTTCAGTTTCAAACATGCCGTATGGATCTTACCAAGAACAGGTCCGAAATACGGGAATGATTAAAAAAAAAAAAAAGAACAATAAATAGAGAACCTTTTTCCTTAGGCAAAGAAGTGGATACTGAATACACAACAAACTTTGATGGTACATGAATTATAATATGCCCCTATAACAAAAAAAAAAAAAAACAATTGAACGGCAATGATTGAATATTGGGAGAATCACATCTAAGATCATACAAAAAAATTATTTACAGGTAAAGACTAATAAAAAGTTTTATTTGGAAAAAAAAACTAATTACATTCTTATTTTAACAGTCCATTTTATATTGATCATTGTTTGTAAATAATTTTTAAATAATTTTTTTGAGTGATCTTTAAATATTATTCTCCCTGAAATATTTCAGTAACAACAAGTCTCTAATGTGTGAATATATTCAAAAAAAAAAAAAAAGAAACCTCAAACTTGAAATGTCAAGTCTTTTACCCAATATCAATTATTTGTCAGTATCCCCATTCTTCATTTATCGAATGAAGAGGAGAGATTCAAGACAAATGGTATCCCTCTCGGCCCACATGGGCATATTTGAGCACATCATTACCCTGGCGAATGATTTCCTAGAGCATATGATTTTCTATTTTACATCATAAATCAAGAGATAAATTTTGATTGGTTCATAATTTGCCCACGTTTTCATTCGTAAAGTAAGCCTAATAATGGCCGAGCGCATAATTAGCATGAAACACTCCAAAATCCAAACAGTGCCAATCAAATATCATACCATGTCTTATGCTCACAATAATGAGCGAGGGTGGGCCGTTGGTGGCTCGCAACTTTATGCAATCCAAGTCACACCGACATTCTTCAGGATGTTGATATATTACCAAAATTTGGACACGCATATCTCAAAGCGTAGCCATTGAACTATAGCTGTTGGGGGCTGCATCAAACCCTTTTTCAGTTTTATCACCATCACAACTTAATCTTCACATTAAGTATATGATCCTGTGGTTTGTGGAGAAGCTTTACTTCTGCAACAAAGCTCGAGAAAAAGGCAAAATAATAAAAAAGTGTGGCCGACATTAAACTTGCAGTTTAGCAGACGCGAAAGAGATGACAAGAACGACTTCTCCGAAAAATTGGAAACAAGCGAAATAAGTATCACTACACGGCACTCTTGAAATTACCATTTATGATGTTCCTCTGATTGACTATACCAATCTCATAATTTTAGATATAATTAAATTATAGTTTCTTGCACGGCCTTATCGTGGCCTTGTAATAAAAAAAAAAGTATCACTACTCTTGAATGATGCAACTCAAAAGGGAAAAAATGATTGCATTATATATATGACTTAAGTAAAATGTGAAGGTAATGTTTGAAGAATCTATAACTACTCGTTGTAACTCCTCAATTAATTTGAATGTAAGCAAAATTACAACCTGCTAGCCCCTGTTGATTTTTGAGAGTGCAAAATGTTGTATGTGTGTCAAAGTGTGTGTGTCAAAGTCCTACGTTGACTAAAAGAAGAAATCTCCTAATGTATATATACTAAGGAATGAAGTGGGCTAGCAAAATGGGCTTGGAGGAGAAGTGACATCGCGCACATGAGATAGGCCAATTTAGGGCAATCGCAGTTGAAATCAGACAAAAAATTAAATAAATAATTGGTCTGATTTTATTGTTTTAAATTTGAACTTGAAGCCTTGCTAAGCATTAAACCTCTATTGAAAATCGATTTTGTGAGTTAATTTTTTGTTTGCCAACATCTTCAGATAAATTGGTTTTGTGAGGTTAATATTCTAAACGTTTTGTCTATCAACGTTTTCAGACAGAGGTTTAACTGAGATTTACGTCTGCGTAACCCCCAGACAAGTGCTTAAACATGATTTATGCGAGTGTAATCAAAGCTTTAATCTAGTGATTATGAGCCAATGTTCATGTCTCCTTCCTCGGGCTATATATAGCCATGGGTGCGGACAGAACAGGATACCAGCCTCTTGAACTTTCAGGGTAATTCTCTCCTCCCTCTGCCTTCTGTTTGTCTGTTCACCTATGTTTACTTTTAGTCTTTGTTGTTCTGTTCCCTTGCTTTGTCGCAAGAAGTGCTTGTTTAATCCTGAGGAACTGCCGGTTCGTCGTTCCGGTGTGTCGGAATAGTTCTTAAGAACAATGTCTTTCTGGGCACGACTCAAGCAGTTTGAAATTCGCTGTTCACGTCTATTGCTAGTGCCGCCAACACAAAATATTATACATGTGTATTGTTTATCAACTAGTCGTATTATATGAACCATGTTAGTAACTATTTTAATAATTAAATTAATTAATCTTTTATTATCTTTGACTTAATCAATTAACAGATATGAAATAACTGATTGTTATAAAGTTATAGATTGAGCATGTACCCACTATTATAAGTTTCATAAGATTATAAAGATTAATCTATTTTAAATTTATTAATTAACGTAAATTTATAATATGAGATAAATATTCCAACATATGCCGTCTAAGGGATCCTCGTGGATGCAATAAAATTTGTACACTATATTATTGTGTGCATATTTAATTAGGACGAAGTTTTCATGAATGTTTTAAGATGCTAGACTAAACCTAGAAGATTAGCCCATGCAAGTTGATTCAAAATGCTGATCCGGGTTGAAATTACGGGAACCTGACAAGTTAATTCCAATTTATTTTATTGGTCACGGGAACCTGACAACTGACAAGTTTTGATTTCAATCACTCGTGCCACCGTGCCCACAAGGGATCGTATATTTGTAACATTTTTTTCCTCATGAGAAATTAGACCCTTGTCCTCAGCCATGCCATGGATAATTTAAAATGATATGAAACTCGAAGGCGCCTCAAAGGTTAAACGTTTTACATAGGAAAACCTCCACAGTTCCATTGATTATTTTTAAATAATCTAACATGATATAACTTTTAAAATAAATAAATCGACACGTGTATATGTATATATATTCTAAGTGTCTATGTTTTGCAATACACGCATATATTTTCTACATTACTGATTCATTTGCTTTGTAGTCTTTTTAAAATGTAATTTAAAATTATTCTTTTAAACTATTAAATTACAGAATTTAAAATATTCTGTTCGCTATATTTTTAGCACTAATATAATATTTTAATATATTTTTTCCAATTTATATCATTTAGCGTGTTTTTTGATTGGGCTTTTGAAGCTCATCCTAAATAATGATTGATTAAGATTTTTTTTATGGGAGAATTCAAGATAACCCTTTTCGCGAGGAAAAAAAAATTACTGGTCTAATTTTATTTTATATTTTTGGTGATTAAAGAATTAGAAATCATTATTGAAAAAAATAAAAAGAAAAGAAAGAAGAACCTAAAAGAACATCTCTACCAAAGTATTAACTCGTCCTCAATAAAATCCACGGATTGTCGGATGGATGGTATTTTTTTTAATTGAAAATTGAAATTCATTCAATAAAAAGCATAAACAGTAAAAGAAAACAAGGTACACGAGAAAATGAGAGCAAATTAATCATCATTCACCTCATAAAGTAATGTGAGTTGAGAAATGATCAAAGATGCAAAAAACTCTCTCCATCAGATGGCCTCTCCTAACAACAAAATGAGCATGACTAATAACATATTTAAAAGAGAAATTAATGGTTACAGTTCAATTTTTATAGAATAAATCACAAGCATTTTGAATAACATCAGGAAAGGGATGCTCTTCATGATACCCTCTTGTAATAAAATTAATAGCTTCCACACACTATTAGAATATACTTCAGTGTTCCTGAAAACCTTGGACCAACAGAGATCAAGGCCTTCAAATTCAGCACTGGTAGATGGATATTTTTCAAGTTTGCAACAAAATCCCACTATCCACCCTCCTTTATCATCAATAACACGTCCTCCACAAGTTGCCATTCCATCAAGTTGAGAAGAACCATATATCTAATGTAATTGCACCTTGAGAGGGGAGGTGCTAGATGTTGGAACAAATAAAAGGTGATTAGGATAAATTAACTTTGTCCAAACACTTAGAATCGGCCAAGGTTCTCAAGAAACACCTAGTGGGGTTCAGGCTAAATCTTTTGTTCCTGTATATCAAATAAATTCCTATAACATACCATCCAGAGATCCTACCACATGTAAGCAGAAATTGTTGTCCACAGTAGTCTTTTTGTACAGTTGAAACCCACTTAGTTCTTCAAATTCGATCAGATCCACTCTAAGTAATCCAGTCACATGAATTCTGACTTAAGCTCAAGCTTCACTATATGACCCCACGTTTCCTGAGCTATTTTGCAATCACGAACAATACGCATGGTGTTCTTCTCTTTACTGAGACCAAAAGGGCATTCATCTTAATCAGCAATCCCTCTTTTCTCCCTCAAGCTCGCTGTATGAAGCCTATTCTTGCCAAGAAGTCATAAGAAGGCTTTGATTTATTTATTTTTTTTTTTTTGTTTGGCTATACTCCATTTTGATTGTTTCATCAAAATTTTGTTTATTTTTTGTGTTGTACCTGAAGAGAGAAAATCATAAGCAAAATGAATATTAAAAGAGCGATCACTAGATGGCTTCCACACATTTTTCTCTCCTTATCTCTCTAGGTGGGCTAGTGGTAATGATTCAACTGATAGCATATTAATGGAGTCATTTCATCAATTCATAACGAACCCAGTACCATATAGAGTAATGAATCGATCAATTTACACTTCCAAATTCACAAGTGAGCTACTACTGTGAATGAAATTGATTATTGGCACGTTCATAGCAAACAGGTTGCCACACCATAAATTGGAAGATCTGCGAAGTACAAACGCTTATCAAGCCCTCAAGAAATTTCTCTCAGGCCTTATTTATGCTTTTCAAAGTCTTAGAAGAATGTGTTTTCTTGCAAAACAGAAGATACAGTATCAATACCACATTTATACAGAGTCTTCATACCTTTAACTCACAGAGCTTCCTTGCTGTTCACCAAATTCCGGCAGAGCTTGAGTATAAAAGCTTCGTTTTGGCAAGATAAATATTTAACCCCAAAACCACCTTCATCTCTTCTTTGCTTCATGATATTGTGGGACACTCCATGAATATTTCATTTCTGATCCTAGCTACCCCAAAGCAAAGCTTTACTAGCCTTCTCAATGTCAACCAACAGCTTTTTAGGAAGAAACATATTCATCTAATATTATTTATAAGTGATTTACAATATATTTTATTAGAATAAAAAAATTAAAACTCATTAACTATATCTAAAAATGTGTTGGTTCTCAACTTTTTTTCCATTAAATATACATATTATGAAAACATATTTTCTCTCTAAAAACAATCCACAATTAAAATTTATTAATATAAATAGGAAACCAAAAACAAATCTCTATAGATGTAGTTCGCATGTGATAATTGGGTAAGAAGAATGACATTAAAATGGATAAAGGCATCATCAATCATAAAGATCAAATATGGGTCCATACAACCCAAGGCCCATTCTTTGTAACCCGGGTTATTTCGTATTCAAGGGAGTTATTTTGTACTGAAGTCAATTACACCATGTTTGGTAGCATTAAATTAGTAAGATAAAAATAAAATTAAAGATAGAATCTTAATTTAAGCATGATTGATATGCAAGAGTTATAATTTTTAAAAATCATAATTCCACCAAAAATGCTAGAATCAATTCTATCATATTGACCATAACATTGTTTCAATTTCTTTGAATTTAATTTATGAACCACACTATCATCATATTTTTTATCTATTTATAATAAGATAGGTCTTTTTAATTTTAAAAAAAAACTATTTAATCTTTTTTTATTTTAAGTATATATATAAATTAATATTATATTAAAATTTTATCTTTATATTAAATACATTTTTTAAAGCTCAATTCTATTTTAATTTTAATTTTAATTTCGATCCTATTAAAAATCCTTCGGTCGTATTATTCCTCAGCCTTCACATGTTTGGAATCAACCAGTCAGCTAATAGTAATAGGGCCCACATCCCCCCTCTTCCAACCCCCCAATAGAAAAACGGCTTCCACGTTTTTCAAACCAATCATTACTAATAACCCTTCCCCTCATAATCACTCCCAGCGTTAGCATAAAGTTTTAATCACAGCTTATCATATCTGCGTTCCTCCCCCGACTCCAATGATCAACAACACTTGGATCCCACTTTGAGGGTGAACAGAAGAAACTTAAACTTGGACAATTCCATCTTGATCAACAGGATTATATTACTTGATTTGTACAAAGAACAAGGAAAGAAATTAGCATTATAGTTATCACGATATATGACAAAGGGAAACATGAAGCCCGTGTTTCCTTTTTGATTTCACCCCGGACTCTTTCTTCCTCGCTACACCTTGTGATGGTGATGGACACACTCGGCAGGAATCACAGGGAATCTAGCAGTGTCGGAGCAATAATCATAAACCATATGGTTAGCCCTGACCCACATAAGCTGGTGGCTCTGGTGCAGACTCAGCTCCGACACGGTAGGTTCGTCCCACCAATACTTCTTATCTTCACTGCTACTACATCTCTTCGCATTATCCGCTTCCGCCACCGTCACCGGGCACTCGCACGCATTAATCTCGAAGCTTTTGTACGTCGCAATGAACGGAGCATGGCTCCAATCCGTCTTCACTCTTCCTCCCTGTGTGGCCCAATCGTCTGCGTTCCAGATTGAGCTGTACACACCCATGGCTTGGCCTTTTGGGAACGGGATACCCCTGTGTTCCATATTTGTGTGCACTCTTATTGGCGTTTCGTCCACTGAGAATCTGCACCAAATGGGGAAAATATGTTATCCAGAATTTGATAATACTGCCCACTGAGCAACACTGTACGGTGGATGCTGATGTGTCCCCCGCAATTGCCAGAAACAGAGGGAGTGAATTGACGGAGACTCTTGTCTTTATGTACTCTGTTTTCTTCTGCAACGGACCCATCAAGAGTGTGTGTTCGGACAAATTATCGAAGATTCCTTCTTTAACATCGGTTTTGTTTTCATGTGACCCGGCGGGAATATAATGCCACACACAAGGCCTTTGATAGCTCAGAGTCAAATACCATTAATTCACTGTGGTTGTTACTTTAACCGAGCTCCGAAACAGAGCCCAGCTTTGCCTCGGCTTTGTAATTATTAGCTGACCACTTTCAGATTTCGGCCAAATAAAAGACAGATCACTTTTAGACTATATTAAATATTAATTATTAATCATTGTGATGCATATCAGCCAGCCAAAGCTTGGGCTAAAAAAGGGGATGGGTGCTTACACAACTTGGCGCTGATTCCAGAATATGGAGTAGGCGTGAAAGTCCTTGGTGGGATCGAACCAGAGGTTGAGCCTCTGCTCCCTGTTGCCCACGCCATTGATATAGAGATTGGTCTGAACAGAGTACGGTTCGCCTGTGGTGTTGCCCAAAAATTCAAAATCGAACTCGTTGTGATAGGGACCGTCCGATGACATCTGCATCAAAGGGAACGACTTGATCAGCCCTGTCATTTTCACTCCGAAATCAGAACCTTATTTTCAACTCCAGAATAAATTACAAGCAATTATCGGCTCGTGGATTGTCGTTGGGGACCAAAGTATAAATGAAAGATTAATTGTCTGTAAAGTAGGTCACGGGCGGTAAATATGAGTAGGTAGCTGCAGCTAGTAGACAGTGTACTACCCGCTCACTAATCTGACGATTCCAAAGGTAAATTATCTTCACCGGGGAGATCTTGAACTGTCAAGTGAGAGGTAACGAGAAGGCCAGAATATTAACCAAGAGAAAACTGATGAGAACAATTCGTGATCACTTACATAGAAAGCGGTAACAGTTCCTGCAGAGTCACCCTCAATTAGCTTAAGCAGAATCGTCACCTTACCGAACATATATTTGTTTTTAGATCCAAAACCAGCACCTGAAATGCACAGACCAATGTCGAAGGTTGTTAATGATGGGAGGAAACAGTTTTACAAGAACAGGCAGACAGTATAACATCTTATACTGCTCTGAAGCAAACGGGAGAGAAAAAAAAATGTTCAGGCGACTCATCGGTGCCAAAATAGTGCGAGGGTGGACGGGAAAAAAAAAAAAGGTATTTTAAGCCAGGGCAGATAAACGTTATTTACCAGAATAGTTGTCAAGCTTGAGTTTGATGAGGTCTCGTTCATAAATGAAGTGGTCTAAGGCCCAGCTTGGGTGGAAAAGCTCGTCAAATTTGGCAGAGTTAGCTATCCCCGCCATCACAAGACACAAAAGATAACACAAAAGACCAGACATTGCAAGGATTGATTCAGAGCGGGTGGAATAGAGTGAAGAGGGAGAGTGGAGCTTCTACTTTGTAGTGCTTCTCGATGAAAGTTCGAAGTGGGAGGGTGGGTTTTATAGTGAATTTCAATCGGCTTGTGACACAAGCCAATCCTCCTCTCATCCCGATGACCACATCATCGAGATGTGGATTCCACATCATTTGACACGGGGGATTTCAAACTCCGAGAAATTGAAGGAAATGGAAAATGAATGACGATGATGATGATGAATAATAATAATAGTCAATATTGTTAATCTCACAAGTTAAAGCAAATTTATCATGGATATATAAACTTAAAATGTAGGTTCAGATTATAAATTAATAAAAATTTATCTTTGTTGATAATTAATATTTAAAAATATATAATTAAATAATTAAAATATAAAATATGATCATAATTAAATTTAAATTTATTTTAAATATAAATTATTAAAGTTAAATCTATTTATATTCATAGAGTATTATGTTCAATATAAAAATTTGGAAATATGACAATTTATTTTTTATTTTTTTTATTTTTCATTAATATTAATATTTGTTTTAAGTTTTATTTTTTATTGAACTAAATCCTACCACTTCTATGAATTAAATTTTATATATAATATATCTATCTTATTCTATAAATTTATAAATGAATTATCATGATGTTATAAGTTAAAAATTTAAAAAAGATAAATTTAAAAGATCAATTATTAAGTTTAATTAAGTTTTATTTAGTTTAAATTTATAAATAAATTAATGCAATTTTATAATTTAAAAATATATAAATGATAAATCCATAGAGTCAGTTTCAAAGTTTGATAATAATTGTCTCAGTATTAGTATTATTTTATTCCAAGGAATAAGGAGAATGTCTTTTTTTTCGGGGGGGGGGGGGGGGGTTTGGAGCAATAAGAAGAATATCAATGATCCGGTGACTGGAACAGATGAGCTTTCTTTGGTTCGAACTTCGAAGGAAATAGAGACTCGGAGTCTCGGAGATAATAGATTCTAATGACTGAGTATTAACAAAAATGGAGAGGTGGAATTAAAAGATTTTGATTAGTTTCCTTTCTTTACTCATTTGATTTATTTCGTCTTTTATTGAAATTATGTACTTATATGTATTTTTTGAAAAAAATCAATCATTTAATTTCTACAATCTTAACTTAATTTTAATTCAGTTATTAAAGTTTTACCTGAGTTTTAATTTAGTTTTTAAATTTTAACTCAATATAACTCGATCTATCTATTTATAACCATTTAAAATTTTAGTCCTTATATTTTAAAAATAATATTATAAATATTAAATATTTATAATATTTCTCAGATTAAAAATTTTAGTATAAAATTATTCCATAAATGTCAACATAATTTTAATTTAAAAAAATTAAAATATAAGGACTAATATTTTAAATAGTTAAAAATATAGAAATTTAATTGCAACGAGTCAAAGTTTAATAATTGAATTATAATCGAGTCAAAACTTTAAGGATTAAATTACAGTAAGTCAAAGTTCATGGATTAGGTCATAACTGAGTCAAAATTAAGAAACCAAATATTTAATTTTCCTTTATTTTTTTAAAAATAAATTGAATTCATTTGAAACCCTCATTCATTTCATTCTCCCTTTATTGAATAGAGGTTAATCATATGAAAGCTTTCTTATAATTTTTTTTGCCAAAATTATAAATATCAATCGAATTTATTAAACACTCCCACCATTAAAAAATGTAAGGTATTTTTTTAGGAGTTGAATATTTAAAAATATGAAGTATTTTTAGTGTTTTAAAATATAATTATTATCTTTTTTTAAAGTACCCTTATTAATAATGACTTTATATTTATTGTTGAGTTTTTAATAGGGGTAAATTAAAAAAATAGAGTTAGTTAAAAAGTAAGTAATTACTTTATTAAAAGGTGAGATTCGATTAAAAATATTTTATATTTTTGAACGAAGGGAGTATAATTTATAATTTTTATTTTTTATAAATTTTTAAAATACCTTTTATCAATAAGACATAGAGGGAAATAAATATACTAAAGCAATGAAATAACGAGGGATAGCATTGAAATAATTATCATTAATAAAGTTTTTTTTAATTCTTATGTTTTAAAGCACCAAATCATTCATTGAGATGTCTTATATTTTCACCGATTCAAATTATGAGATATTTTTAAATAAAATTACATATAATAATAAAAACTTGTTAATATATTTTATAATTTTTTTAAAATAAAAATATAAACTTTTAAAAATATTTTCATTTAATACTTCTTTAATAAAAAAATATTTAAGATATAGAACATATATGAAGGATGATATTAAAAAGTATTATAATAAAATTATATTTTTATAAAGTATTTTATTTTTTGAGATCCTAAATTTCTGCCAAAAATATTTTATTGTTTGAGAAGGAAGTAGTAAAATAGAACAAAAGAGTAGCAAATACTCCATTCTAAACTTAGAGTTTTATTGGCTGAATTCAATGACTATAAGTACTTAATGCCTATGCTATTTAAATAGTTAAAATTTATATTAATAATTTAAATAAACTCACTTATTTAATTTCAAGAAGAGTAAAAATTTAAAAACACTGATTTGAATTTCAATGATTGAAATAACACAGATACTCTCCCTATCTTTATATATAAGATATTTTTAACTAAATTTTATATACTAATAAAAGTTTGTTATTTAGTTGAGCCCACATAAAAACATAATGACTTATTAATTTCATCTCTAATAATATCATAATTAATATCATGATGATTGATAAAAATATATAATTAATGATCTATTTTATATTTTAAGATAAGAATAAAATTATTTAATTATTTAAAAATACTATTATTACTTTTATACTTAAAAATAAAATAAATTTTTTTAAATTTTTTTATATATAAAGATGGAGGGGGTATTAAGTCGTCTTGCACCGGCGAGTTTAATGCGGCTTTAATTTTAAACGGTTAGTTCGGGTTTTCCTTTTTTTTTAAAAAAAATCTGGTTGGGGGACCAGAGAGCACGGAGACGAAGGAGTACGGAAGAAAGACATTTTAGCCTTGTCATCCAATAAAATGGCGCCATGTAAAGGAGTACAGCTGGCTTCTCTCGTCGACCAGTTGTCACCTGTTTACGATGAGTGTTAAAAGCGAGGAAATTACATTCATGAACTCAATTCGAATCAAATAGTAATCAATAGGGAGGACCTCAAAAATCTCACACTGACTCACACATATACATGCATGTAAATTATATTCCTCAACCACAAACATTAAGATATTTCTAAATAAAATTTTCTACGTCAGTAAATTTTATCAAATATAATTACTTTTTTTATTAAAAAGTATAAAATATTTTTTTTAAATATTATTCTTGATAAAATAATTACTTATTTTTAAATTAACACGATCTTTTTATATTTATCTTCAATTTAATAAGGTGTTTCACTTTAAAATAAATATAAAATAATTTATTTATTAAGAGTAATTTTAGATAAAAGACAATAATTATATCTTAAAACACTAAAAATATTTTATATTTGTAAATATTTAATATCTTAAAAAATATCTTATATTTTTTAATGAACGGAGTAACACTTCTATTTTTTAAAAATAAAAATATAAACTTTTAAAACAACCATAGTAAATTATTTTTAAGAATTTAAATGACAAGCAATAAATAAAAGGTAAAATTAAAAAATTCATTTTATTGTTAAAACCAAAAAAATCTTTCAAACACTGTCTTATATAAATAAATCAATATAAAATAAAAAATATTTCATAGAAATACACTGATTATAATAGTCTAACTAAATCTGCGTTAAGCTTTTCAGCAATATTATTGCATTTTTAATAACAAAATAGTACACCAACTTAGTTTTTGTTTGTATTTTTGTCGTTATATAGAGTTAATTAAATTCTCGTGCATAATTATAAATAGGCTTGCACGCGTTGATATTACCTGAAATTTAAGATTATAAATTCATTTTTTTCGTAATTAAAAAACAAAAAATCTGGCATAGCGTTTGGAGTATTTTATGCGTGGAAAATAAAAATTCAATGTTTTTCGGTGGGTCTTGCAGGCTAAGAAAGCAGAGTATACTTTTACTCATTTTGGCTGACCAATAAAAAGGAAAGAAAAATAAAAGAGAGTACGCAGATGATCGTGAAGAAGACGCGCGTTGTTATCCACATTGCACATATGAATTGAAGAGGGGACTGAGAGAGTTATCAAAGAAAGAGTGACTGAGAGTGGCCGAGCAGGCCTGCGCTTAAGCTCTTGTCTGCTTTTGCTTTAGCCCTTTACAGCTGGACAGTACTTGTGTAGTAATATACGATTATACGGCCGCCCGGTCCTCTTCAATTTAAAATAAAAAACAAAAATACATTTCAAATGCCTTTCATGGGATCCCATGATGGCACTGTAGAGCTGACCAGGGATTGTACGCGCGGTTGAAGGACTAATTAGTAATGATCCAATCGTGATTCAATTAAAGCCAATCGAATTCTGATTAATTTACTATATTCAGTAAAAATATAAAAATATTTCTACATATACAGTTGAAATGTATATATTATTGAAATGTATATAAAGTTAATAATTTATTAAATTTTAAGATAAAATTAATAAATTATAAATTTTTTTTAATATTAATAAAATATGTTAAAAATAATTTATAAATAAGATCAAGGATTAATTTAGAAGAGAATAATACGGAACATTTAAGTATAGGTCACATGTAATTCAGCAAATTAAAACAGAATTATTAAAACACAAATCTGATTTACTAGTACTTTTTTAATTCAAGACAATGTCGTTTCAACTTTAACAGGTGGAGAGTACTATGATAAAAGAGCATGCATGCAGCTTTTTTAAAATCCTACTTCCTCTTGTTATTTTTATAAGTCATATCCTAAAAAATATTTTTGATTATATATATACATATATATATATTACTTTTTATAATTTTTTATATACAATTTTAAAAGTATCTTTCAAAAATTATGAAAAAAAGAACAATTTCTTAGTTTCTAAGAAAACTCCTCCTGTACATTAAATCACTATTTTTT